TGGTGGAGAGGAAATGAACATATTTGGTTAAGGTAAAATTTCAGACAACAAATCGGTGCATCCAAATTCTTGTTTATCACGTAGTCTTTCAATTTCAATCCCAACATCATTTCCAGGTGTAGGGGAATAGTTATCATTGGGTTCCACATTATCCTCTTCTTCATGTGAGGAAGCCATCTTGAGTTTTGTTGAAACGAAGTCTTCCTTATAGCGGTTGCAGAGATCATCACATAATCCTACAAATTTACAACAGCTGAGTTTCCGATGGAGACCATTTCAACTCATAAACATTAGATTTATTTTTTTTAAATCTCTTTTAGAAACCGAACCAAATAAATTCTCACAAATATCTTCAACAAGGTTTAACAATCCCTTAAGGTGTTGAAAGAATTGAAGAATGACTTCTCCACCTTATCTCAAATATTGTCCTCTCATTTGATGTCTATCAAATAGTTGGAAACTCAAATGTGCCAGATCGTCACTTATCTCACTCAAAGGAAAAATGGAACATTGCCTAGTGACACCATCTCGAATCCCAAATATGAATAATTAGGAAATGAGAATAATGTTGTGCCACGTTATTAAATAAGACGCTTTTTGGGAGGCACCCCAGTCTTTATTGTTATTTATTACTTTAAAAACGTGTATTGTGAGTGAATGTTGAAAAAAAGTCAAAATGTTGTGAGGGGAACAATAGGCGATGACAAAAGCATAACGGTGATTCACTGAAGGTGTAGTGCTGACTCATTCTTGTCCGCCTTTTGACCTAGAAATTTTTAAAAAAATATATTGTCAATTTAGGCGATTCGCTAAAGTACACTATGTGAATTTCATTATGTCCGCTGAATCAACCTTCATGTTTTGTTTTTGTTAAGGCGTCTTTGGCGAGCTTCACCTCCCTTTTGTAGTCCACCGAATACTATCAGCGACGGTTGTAATTACCACCGAATGTGCCTGGTATAAAAAGGCCGAAGGTCTTTTCCTTTTCAAAAAGAAAAATGTTTTTCTATCTCTTAGCTCTTTTCTACCCTTTAACTTGCAATAGCATATTCGAGTGTTAGTGTCTTTATTATGTGATTGCCGAGTGTGTGGAATGCATAATTTTTCTTGATTAGTCGACCCTAAATCCTTACCTCCCTCGTTTTTGCATTTTTCTTCTCTTTGAGTTTGATGTTCAACTTCTATTTGTGATTTGAGCTTAAAAGTGTGTTTTGTGTATGGGATTAAGGCCATTTGATTGTTGTTGTTAAGTAATTTTGTTGGGTACTGCTATATAGTTGATATTGAATGATGCCCATGTATTAAATAGTTGAAATTGTGGGTAAATTGTTAAAATTAATGTGTTGATTATTTATTAAAATTGAATAATGAATATTGCTAGGTTTGATTTAAATTTTATATGGGTGTCTGATTAGCCTAATGCTTACCCAATTGCATGATTTTTCCAAATGATAGATTGAGTGACCACTTTCATAAGGGCAAATCATCAATTAGAGCAATGTTTTGTGATATTTCGGAGAAATCTTAGTACCCATGGGGGATAAGCATGTGGGTAGATTTTAAAATTGAGGGGGAACTATATATTATTGTGTATGTTGGTTCAATCTATGAAAATAGGCATTGATCTGAATGCTACTTGTTCGGCAAGCTTGTCTTAGCTTTCCAAGGCTGTTAGGCGAATCGCTAAGTAAGCCCCATCTTACCTTCTTGAGCGAATATGTGACCTTGGGTATTATTTCATTTGGCGAACTTGTCTTAGTTCACCGAACTCACTAGGTGAATAGCCAAGTGGGAGTAGACATCACCCTTTATGCTTGTTTCTTTTCATTTTGCATTGTCAGTTTTGGCAGACTTGTCTTAGCCTGCCAAAACCAACTCGGTGATTGAGTTGGTATTGACTCCACCCATTATGCATGAGTTCTTAGATTTTTTGGTACATTCTGATTCAGCGAGCTCACCAAAGCTCACTCAGCCTATTAGGCAGACCACCGTCCCATTAAGGGAGCCTCAGAACTATTGTTGAACTGTGTTTTCAATTGAGTTTGATTTCAACTAATATTCACCGATTCTATGTTTGTAAATGATGGATTTTCCAGGAAATGAGTAAAGCACTTGGAAAAAGAGCATTGACCTCTAGCTCGGAGGATGACAATCCTCCTCTTCTAAAGAGGCAATAGGGGATAGTATTTAACTATCCATTTAAGGCTCTCATCTTGGGCATATTTATATGCCCAACTCTTGTGAATTACCCATGTTTAAGATAAGTTTTATGACATTCACTAATCTAACTAGCATGTTTTGGCAAAGGATTGCGATGATTGCATACTAATATACATGATTATCGATTTTGCAGGATTCCTAAGAGAAGTGATTGACGCCAACATAAACGGGTGGCGCGGTGCCCAAGCATCACTGGCGCAACAAGGGCGCGACGCGCCAGGCCTAGTTTGACTGAAGCCTATTTTTCTACCACTGGCAGCGCGGCGCGCCAGCCTGCCAGGCGCGATTAGGGCATGATGCCCCATAGCTTTGCGTACGTTTGAGTGAAATTTGATTTTAAAGGAGTACTTGTTGAAGTAGATCTAGACTCTAATTTTCCGAAATATTATAAATAGACCCTTAGGGCTACATTGTTAGGGTTCGACTTTTTTATTGGTGTGCAAGAGCAGGTGTCATCGTTTGCATGGGGTTCGATCTTCTAACTCTTCTATTTTCTGGAAATCACATGAACAATTGTATTTTTTTGGTTTTCTAATAGTATGAGTGGCTAAACGCCTTTGTTCTGGGGTTGTAGCTATGAATCAAATATTGAATATTTAAGGTTTATGACTTAATTATTGGTTGTCATTATAAGTTACTTATATATTCTTGTTTTAGTATTTTATGCTTGATCACCATAAGATAAATCTATTGTCTAATCTTAAAATAGAGAGATGAGGGGTTAGATAGACCAGAGAATATATAGAGCTCGATCGACCCATTTAGTTGAGGTGATTTGTGTTCAGGAGTGATGCCCAAATGAACAACTTTCCTGGTTACGAAATAGGATGAAATATAAATGCTCGCCAATTAGACTTGTTTATCCCCGCTCAACGATGTAGTTAGATAGCTAACTAGAGTAGGCGACTAAAGGTTTGATACCCGACTCATACGATTAACCCTGTAAACCATTAACTTGACAACTAAAGTTAGTTCTAAGCTGAGAATATGATACATGAGATTCATTGAATACTGCAGCCCTGGAATTTTCTTTTACTTGCTTGAAACATCATCTTAAATTCATTACACAGTTAGTTACTTTTATTTGTTTCATAATTAGTAGTAGTAGTCAACAATCATCACCATTTCTGAAAACGATTACTTTTATTTTATTTGTAGAATTAAGTGCTAAATATAAGTCGATCATAAGTCCCTTGGGAATGATAAGTCGTTTCGCTAAGAATCTATATAACTTGAGCGACTATGTACACTTGCGTGTATATTGGGGAGCAACAAGTTTTTGGCCCCGCTGTTGGGGACTTAGAAATTGATTTATATCCTATCTTCTTAAGTCTACAATTATAATATTTAGGTGTTAATTGCTTGATCGTAGCATGTTTATTGCAGGCAGTGCACTCTCAAGTTTGGCTCGGAAAGGAGAACTTGTCGAACCATACAGCGAACCCGAAAGAGCTTTACACCGACATAGGAAAATGGCTAATCAAGGTTGTCATGGAGAATTGGGTTTAGGTCTTGATGGAGACAATGAGGATAATAACCAAGACAGCGTGAACAACCGAGAGAACTTGAATAATCAAGAGGTACCCCCTGTCGTACCAGCAAGACTAGTGCATGATGTGGTAGTCCCACTCACAGCCAATGTGGCGTCTAGCATTAGGAAACCTCCATCGGGGGGTAGATTTGAAGTAAAACAGGGCATGGTACAATTCATCCATGCTAGTGGGCAATTCACCGGTCTCCCCCACGAGGATCCCCAAATCCACCTTAGGAACTTTATAGAGATTAGTGATACATACATCCCAAATGGAGTCTCATCGTACTATGTGAAACTGACGATGTTCTCATACTTATTGTTAGGAGCCGCAAGGCGTTGGTTAGATTTTGAGCCACCAAACTCCATCACTATATGGGAATTATCTAGCAAAGAAGTTCTTGAGTCGATTCTTTACATCCAAGAAAACTGCACGGTTGAGCAGTGAGATATTAAGTTTTAAGCAAAACTATGGGGAGGACATGTACCAAGCATGGGCTCATTTTAAACAAATGTTGAATTCCTACCCTCACCACATGCAATCTAATGAGGTACTTGCTCACACTTTCTTTGAGGGTTTAGATTATAATGCACGTGTACTTCCTAATAGTGCAGCAGGTGGACAAGCCCTAGCAAAAATCTGTGAAGAGTTATTCGACCTAATCGATAGAGTCTCAGAAGGAAACCCACGGTATGAGAGGGAAATGCCTAGAACCACAACCCAAAGGGCCATGGGAATCTTAGATGTAGATCAAGCCACCGCCATAAATGCCAAACTTGATGCAATGCAACATAATATAGCCATACATTTCAAAAAGATGTCCTAAAACCAAGCACAGGTTAACATGGTACAACAGGCATCCAATTGGTGTGGGGTATGTGGTAGTGGACCTCGTGAAATCGAGCAATGTAAGGCAAACCCAGATTCCGTAAACTATGTGGGTAATGCGCAAAAGGGTGGAGGTCAGCAAAATTATGGTAGTACCTACAACTCTAGTTGGAGGAACCATCCTAACTTCTCATGGGGTGGGAAGAAAAACCAAAATCAGGCACAAGGGGGTAACCAATACCGTTCTCAAGGGGCTAGGCAACAATACCAAAATCCTAACCAAGGCGCAAATCTGAATGCACCAAAAGCGGGATGACCAATGAGGAGTTACTCCAAAAGATCATGGTTGAACTAGGGACAAAGATCAATGCTAGGATAGATAAGTAGGATGAGAACATCAGAAACATCCAAATGTCCCAAATGACTTTAGAGAAACAAGTTGCGCAAGTAGCCAATTCTCTAAACTTGTGTCCCCAAGGTGGGCTGCCCGGTGATACTAAACCTAACCCCAAGAAAATGAATGCGGTAAGTACTAGAAGTGGGTTACAACTAGAGGAACTAGCTCTGAAGAAGAGAGATGTTGAAACAGGTACTAAAGAAAAGAAAGTGGAAGAGGTAGTAAAGAGCTCCAATGTTGAGAAACTCGTTCCTCAAAATAAACCACCCCCCTGTTTCCATAAAGGCTCAGAAATCAGAATGAGGATGAATGTTTCAGTAAGTTTCTCTCTCTCCTTAAACAGGTTCACATTAATTTGCCTTTGGTTGACATTTTGCAGAGTATCCTGAAGTATGCTAAATACGTGAAGGACATAGTAGCTAACAAAAGGAGGCTCACAAAGTATGAAACTATAGAACTTACTAAAGAGTGCAGCTCCAGAATCAAAAATAGACTACCCAAAAAGATAAAAGATTTGGGTAGTTTTACTGTGCAGATTACAATTGGGCAAAGTGTTCATGCCCGGGGGTTGTGTGATTTGGGGGCAAGTATAAATCTTATGCCCATGTCCTTGTATCAAAAGCTTAGGTTGGGTAGTCCAAAACAAACCACTGTCATTCTCCAACTCATTGATAGATCTATTCCTAGGCCAGAGGGAGTGGTTGAAAATGTGTTAGTTCAAGTACATTCCTTGATTTTTCTGGTGGATTTTGTGGTCTTAGATTTTGAACCCGATTCTGAAGTTCCATTCATTTTGGGACGTCCGTTCTTGGCAACAAGTAGGGCATTGATTGATGTAGCAGTTGGGCAATTAACTATGAGGGCACATGATAAGGTTAAGGTATTTAATGTTTACCGCGCTTTAAAATTACCTTCTATCTATGAAGAGTTGTCTGCTATTACGATGGTAGATCACATAGTAGAATCGCAATTAGTTGTGCCTGAAGATCCCTTAGAAAGAGTGTTAGTAGGCCATGAGGTGGATGGAGATACTGAGGCCCAAGAGATAGAGACATGTTTGAATCTGGCACTCGTGGAGACTCTCAAGTATAGAGTGGAGCCATTAGATCATGACTTAGGGCCTCCACCCAAACCCTCAATCGAAGAAGCTCCCAAGTAGGAATTGATAATGAAGCCTTCTCACCTAAGGTATGCTTATTTGGGTACTAACGAAACTTTTCCTATTATACTTTCTACAGAGTTATCTAAAATACAGGTTGAGGCGACATTGAGGATCTTAAAGTGGAGAAAGAAAGAAATTGGATGACAGATGGATGATATTCATGGGATTAGTCCAGCGTTATGTATGCATAGAATCTACATGGAATATGATCACAAACTAAGTGCACAACATCAACGTAGGCTAAATGCTTTGATGAAAGAAGTGGTGAGAAATGAAGTAATAAAATGGCTAGATGTTGGAATTGTGTACCCGATCTTTGATAGTAAGTGGGTAAGTCTGGTACAATGTGTTCTTTAGGGAGGTATGACAGTAGTAAGGAATGAAAAGAATGAGTTGATTCCTACTAGAATAGTGACCGGATGAAGAATTTGTATGAATTATCGGAAACGAAATGATGCCACCCGGAAAGATCATTATCTGGTACCCTTCATTGATCAGATGATTGACCGACTAGTAGGGCAAGAGTACTATTATTTCTTAGATGGGTATTCCGGGTACAACCAGATCTTAATTGCACTTGAGGATCAGGAAAAGGCCACGTTCACTTGTCCTTATGGTACATATGCTTTCAAATGCATGCCATTCAAACTTTTCAATGCACTGGCGACTTTTCAAAGGTGTATGATGGCCATTTTTCATAATATGGTGGAAGACTTTGTAGAGGTGTTCATGGATGATTTCTCCATCTTCGGGAAGCCTTTTGAGGTATGTCTATGGAATCTTGATAAAGTACTTGCTAGGTGTGAGGACACTAACTTAGTGCTAAACTGGGAAAAGTGTCATTTTTTGGTTATAGAGGGGATAGTGTTGGGACATAAGGTGTCTAAGTCGGGTATAGAGGTTGATAAAGCCAAGGTTGGAGTTATTGAAAAAGTGCCCCCTCCCATTTCTGTAAAAGGGGTGCAAAGTTTGGTCATATAGGTTTTTACCGGAGAGTCATCAAGGAATTCTCAGAGATTGCAAAACCGTTATGCAGTCTTTTGGAGAAGGAAGTGAAATTTGATTTTGATGAGATGTGCTTGAAAGCTTTTGAGATGTTGAAGATAAACTTAATTGAGGCTCCCATCTTAATTGCTCCTAATTGGGAAGTATCATTTGAACTCATGTGTGATCCAAGCGACGTAGTAGTGGGTGTAGTGTTGGGACAAAGAAAAGATAAAGTGTTCCACTCGATCTATTTTGCAAGCAAGACCCTAGATTCTGCACAAGCTATTTACAAAGTGACTGAGAAGGAGATGCTAGCTCTAGTGTTTGCCAACAACAAGTTCATATCGTATTTGGTAGGTACTAAGGTGATTGTTTGTACTGACCATACAGCTATTAGGTACCTATTCAATAAGAAGGATGCTAAACCAAGGCTGATTCAGTAGATATTGCTTCTCCAAAAATTTGACCTTGAGATTAAGGATAGAAAAGGTACTAAAAATCAAATAGTTGATCACTTGTCTAGGTTGGAGGATTTTTCCCATGTGCATGAAGGTGAACAAATCCGAGAAGAGTTTCCAGATGAACAGTTAATCGTACTAGATATTGTGAATTTGATAGTAAGTGGAGATTACCCTCCAGGTGAAACCATCCAACAAAGAAAAAGCTCAATCATGATGCTAAGTTCTATATCTCGGATGAACCGTTCTTGTTCAAGCAAGGTGTGGATCGAGTGTGGATCGGGTGGTGAGAAGATGCATTCCGGAGTCTGAGGTTAAAAAAGTGCTCGAAAGTTATCATGCTAGCCCATATGGAGGACACCATGGAGGAGAGCGCACGACGCACAAGGTACTATAATCTGATTTCTTATGGCCCTCGTTATTTAAAGATTATATTGCCTTTGTGAAGGGTTGTGATAAATGCCAAAAGTTGGGTACTATTTCAAGAAGACATGAGATGCCACTAAGTAACATTTTGGAGGTGGAAATTTTTTACGTGTAGGGGTATTGACTTCATGGGTCCCTTCCCGCAATCTAGTGGAAACCAATACATTCTTGTGGCTATGGATTATGTGAGTAAATGGGTTGAGGCTGCCACTCTTCCTTCGAATGATGCAAGGGTGGTGATTAAGTTCATCAAGAAGCACATCTTCACTCGCTTTGGCACTCCAAGGGCAATCATAATTTATGGATGTAAGCGTTTCATTAACCATCTAGTGAAAAATCTTTTTGCTAAGTATGGTATTCGTGATAAGGTTGCTACAGCTTACCATCCTCAAACAAGTGACCAAGTGGAAGTTTCAAATAGAGAGGTGAAGTAAATTTTGCAGAAAACACTGAATGCGCAGAGGAAGGATTGGTCTAAGATGTTAGATGATGTGTTGTGGGCGTAAAGGACTGCTTATAGGACACTCACATAGTGTTTGATAAAGCATGTCATCTTCTGGCGAAATTAGAACACCAAGATTATTGGGCGATTAAGAGGTTGAATTTGGACCCCGAGCTAGCCGGTAGGACAAGAGTGAATCAACTACATGAACTTGAGGAGTTCAGGCTCCATGTGTATGATAATTCCAAGCTCTATAAAGAAAAGACAAAAAGGTGACATGACAAGAACATAGTTCGCATGCTATCACTCCGGGAGAAAAGATACTACTCAATAACTCTAGATTAAGGTTATTCCCTAGAAAACTGAGGTCTAAATGGAGTGGTCCCTTCGAAGTGGAAAGGATAACACAACATGCTACCGTGGAACTTAAGGTGCACAAGGCCCAATGTTCTTGGTGAACGGGCAAAGAGTTAAGCATTATTTTGGGGAAGATGAGGATTGTGATCTGGAGGCTCTTGAGCTAAATGATGAATGATCCAAGCTGAGTCATGCTAAATCAAGTGCTACACGGGAGGCAACCCGTGAACAATATGTTATAGGTAGTTTTGCTTAATTTTGAATTTTTAGCTTAGTTTCAAACTTCTCTAGTAGAGTTCTTATTTTTTGCGTGTTATAGTAGGACTTTAGAAGTGTTGATTTTCTTTGTAATAGTTAGGAAATAGTAAGAAAAAAAAACAAAAAAGAGGAGTCGTGCCATGACAAAAACTAAGGCGCTGGCTGGGAGGGAACCCACCATTATTATGTCACGCTATTTGGTTGATACGTAGGTCATTGGAGGAGAAACCACATGAAAAGAGAACCAAGGCGTTGAAATTTAGGTTTCGGCACAGGACAGGAGCGCTGCGCTAAGGGCTAATGTTCAGAGGCCCATTTTTGGCGCACTAGCAGCACGCCGCGCCTCAAACGACCAAGGCCAATGAAAAATGCCAATAACAGGCGCTAGAAGGGCTCGCCGCGCCAAGCCCAGAAGTTCTGCGACCCATTTAGGGAGTACTGGAAGCACGCCGTGCCAAGGACACGGGCGCAACATGGGCGCGCCGCGCCAAGGTCAAGCAAACTGCGAGCCATTTCAGGCGCACTGGCAGGGCGGCGCCCACTATCGTGCTAAGTATTCCCCAAATCCAAAATTGAATAGTATTTTTATTCCAAGGGACCCACACCCAAAACCCACTTTTAATCCTTCACCTACCCAAAACCCACTTCACTCTTTCCCTATTCTTTTTCTCTCTAACCGTCCCTCTCCTCCAAATTCTCTCCAAATTCCAATTTTTTTCTTCTTCTTCTTCACCCACATTCTTCCCCAAAACCCCAAATTCCACCATTAATCCTTACCAAAACCTTTTTCTCTTACCTTTTCCTCAACTTTCATCCACTAACACCCACAAAAATCCATCAAAATTTTAAAACCCACCCACCCCACTGCTAGAGCTATCAAAATGGACTGGCCCAACACAACCCAACCGTAACGAGCTAGAGAGTTAAATGGGTTGGGACGGGCTGGCTCTTTTAAAGGGCCTATAAAATAGCAGCCCAACCTAGCCCTAAGCGGGCCACAGGTTGGGACGGGTTAGCCCTTCAACCAAAAAATGAACAATATTACTCTCTTTGAAAAAGTATCTAAGAGTATCAAACGTTGACGTTTATGAACACGACATCAATACATACAAATTTTCATTTATGAATCACACACTTCGGTGAATACTTACAAAAATACATTTATGAATCACACACTTCGGTGAATACATACAAAAGTACATAATAGTCAACGTTTGATTTAGCCAAAAAATGTTGATCATTCCACCATTCTTCCCACAAAAAACTAGCTAGTTTAAAGGACTTGAATTTTTATTTTTAAAAATAATAATTGATAAAAACTTTACAAATAAAACACTAGTAAAAATATATATAAAAAATATTTCTAAAAATTCATAGACCAGGGGATGGCCTCTGAGGCTTCAGGGTTGGGCCTATGAGTCTAGTGGGATAAATTAGGTTGGCCTAAAAAACCTCATTCCTAAATGGGCCAAAAAAATTAGGACCAACCCCACTTAATTTAAGAGTTGGGTTGGGCAGGCCTAGCGGGCCAGGCACATTTTGACAGCTCTACCCACTGCCCACCCGACCCCCAACTCTCTTCTTCCCTAAATCTTTTTCTTTTCTTCCATTCTTGGGTGTAAAAATCACTCCTAAGGGTAAAAATGTTGCTAGTAGTTCGGGTACTAAGAGGAGTAGGAAAGGAGCGACTGCCAGAAGTTCTAGTCGGGAAACCATCAATTTACCGCCTCAAAAATTTGGAAAGCAAGCTTTAATGCACTATGGGGAGGATTGGTACACCTGTCAACAAGAATCTAAGTACCTGGGTGATAAGTACGTAGATGAGGGGCGATTGCTGCAAGAATATCCACACATTCACACCCAAATCCATGCTTTGGGCCTCCAATATGTCTTCGTTAACCAAGGTGAGTGCAATTTAAGCTTAGTGCGTGAATTTTATTTGAATTGGAATACCAATCATGTTGATTTGAACCAAGGACTAATTAGATAGTCGGGTGAGATTCATTGTGGAAGCATTGAATGAATTTTTTGGTACACAGAATTGTGACAATTCTGAGTTTCTGGCTATG